GCGGATAGTCGTTTCCTATCTGCACAAAAAAGACTTTGGAATCCCACAAAACATCCGAACACTTGACGTCCGTTCTCTGTGAACGCACTTCCCTCCTTGAGCGCTAAGAGGCCGCGCCGCTCAGCCATACCCGAGGCGTACATATTCTGACACAAGTGCCCGCGCATGTCTCACGCACTCTTTTCTCTACTACCGACTTTTTTTTTTTTCTCTTCATCCTTCTGTGGCTTCTGAGTGGCTGGAAGGCAGTTGTAGCTGACTGAACGTTTTGTCTGTCCGACTGGATGGTTCAACTTTGTTGTCTCCTTTCCTTTCTTTTTTTGCCGCTCGAGTTTGTCAAAGTTGGTTTTGGCTGCCTCCCCGGTCAGACCTTTTCCAGGTTCGTGGGATGTTCTTTTCAGAAACGAAACCGAACAGAACATCAGAAGAATAAAAAAACATCCGAGATTCACACAAGTCTTCTTTTTGCCTCAATCTCTGAGCAGCAGTGTATTCTGCAAAGCAAGATCATCTCTAATCATATTCGCCTCTTCTCAAGACACGTACACACACTTACCACTTATACTCACACCCCCCTTTCTCCTGGGGGCCTTCTCTGTCCGTGGGACAACATACGCATCACCATTATTCAGACATCGTCCGTCTAGTTGTCTCTCTTAGTGATTATTCATTTTTATCTCCGAGATTATCCACGGACGTTTTTTCTCTTTCTTTTCTAACGGCATCCTCAACGGGTTCCGCTAGCATCCCGGCTTCCCGTCGTTCGTCCCGCCTTGCCGCAGACACCAAGGGATAGGTGAGTACGATGGGGCGGATTACGAAGACATGTGTCAAAGATCGTTCCGTTCTCTCTTTGTGGCGTTCTCCTTCTCCGGCTTACAACATAGACGTTCTCGTCAGCCCCGCCGGAGGAGATGTGAAGAGAGAATGGAGTGAACGTTTGAATGTCAGATAGATGGGACATACTTCCTCTCCCGTTCGTGACTTGATCCCCGTATGAGACTACACACCGTGCTTCGTACCGCCTCCACCGCTCGCGGACCCGGCAGTGGACCACCCATCTCCTTCCTGAGCTCTGGCTACTCGCTGGCGTCCTCTTTTCTCAAAATAACCTATCACTTCCTAGTTGCTGGCCATCACTCCATTGACACGACGAACCCCGCATCACACGGGGTTCCGACGGACAACACCGTGATGTGAGCTGTGAGGTAACGACGGGGGCGCTCCTCGTCCGCTCTCACGCATCCAAGTCACCCATACCATACTACCATACTAGGGAACGTGAAGAAACAAAAACTGGGCCGATACCAGAAGCTTTCCTGTCGTGCTCTCCCGCGCCCTGAAAAACGGCCAGACGCTTCCCAGCGTACACACTCCATCCAGGCGGAAAGCACCCTCCACGGCACCGTCGTCGTCTTGCTTTGTGGTGCACGCTTTCCGCGCAAAACACCGTGTGTTTCCCATCTCGCATATTCCCGTCCTCCCCGGCGCGCCCTGCATCTTTTTTCTTTTCTCTCTTTTTTCGCCTTGCTACTCTTCTCTGGTTCGAGAGCAACCGTGGGCTGTCACAGCAGAAGACGCGCAGGACACGGTTCGAGTGCGTCCCTCTCCCACACCTTTCCCCTCCTGCATCACATACACGAGAAGCAGCACGGGGCGGTGGTTTGAGGAGATGCATGCTGCTCATGTTGCACCAACCCGGGATCCTTTTTGACTTCCGTCCGACGCACGCTTTCCTGCTTGCTTGCTTGAACCTCCCGACTTCGTCGAGGGTATATAGCGAGAGGTACGGTGGCGAAATTCCGGACAGCTTACTTCGATTCTCCTCCTTCTTCCTGTGTCTTCGTCTTGATTTATCGACCTTCCACTCTCGCCCGTCTCTCAAAATTGACGTTCACAACTGCCAATCTGTTCATTCTATACCAAGTCATTTCCATCAACAGTTTCTCGTTTTTTCGGAACAATGGAACCGCAGCCGGCCAGTGACGCCCCGGATACGAGCCACGATGATACCATCTCCCTCATGATTCTCGAGTACATGTAAGACGGAACTCCCGTCTGCTGTCGCCCGCCGCCGTCAGTCCCGCGCCTATTACCATGGCGGCCAGGCACGAATGAGAGGCATCGGTCGAATGTCTCGTACTGGAAATCTATCGAGCAGCCCCAATTTTCGGATCGCCAGCTGGCGCGGTTTCAACACCCGTTCTGCAACCTTCACACAGCCCCCGATCAACATCCGCTTCTCAAAAACATTGCGTATTACGGACGTCCGGGAAGAGTTGGTCTTTCCAGAGCCGTAGCTTCGACGTCCCCGTACTTCGCTCCCGATTACCGGACACCCGCTTCTCAGCATCGGATAGGCAGAACAGGGGCACAGCCACGATGGGAGTCTTCTCACTGTCTTCGTCGATTTCAGACCCGGTTGTCGCCCAGCAATGCTGTCAATACGAGAGGTCGAGGACAGATCGCTCTCGGCAACAGATTCTCGCTCAATCTAGCGGCAAGGACTTCCACCGCCAACTTCAATTTTGACACCATCTTTGGATACCCGGCTGCCCAGCATACATCTCTTCACCTCGGATGATAGGAAACAGCCCCAGCGCGAGCACGTGGATGTTGCTGAAATCAGCTCCTCTACTTGAATTCCGGTCACCTCAATACCCCGCGAAGGAAGGAACATCATCACGACAGACACTCAGCCTCCGATCCCCCTTTCCAACCGGCCTCATCACAAACCTGACAAATCGAGTTGTGTGATAACACCCCCTTTCACCTATGTTTACATATCTAACCGGTTACGTCCAAGCACGTACTTTCTTGAGGTGTTTCTGTCGTTTGGCGTGCTCGAAAATTCAAATCAAGCACACCACAACGCCAGGAACACCATCAAGATGGCACATGCTTGGGCGTGATGGGTCAGATATGTAGACATAACTCAAAGGGGCCGTTGTCACACATGGCCAGAAACACCTGGGGCATGAGAAGCCAGGCATGTTCATCCGAGCTCTTCACCATGGAACCCCCCTCTCATCCGAGCTCTTCGCATTCCCGCGTCTCTGCCAACTTTCTCCTCCCGTCACGTTTCGAGCTACCCGGTTTCACCTCGGTGCCTCGGCTGGGAACGACGGAAACAGTATTGGAAACGACATTCTTCGGATAAGCAACCGTTTGCGAGAGCGGGAGCACGTCATCGCTCTCATCGTTCTCCCCGCCATCAAACCCTTCCCACGAGAACCAGTGTTGACAGGTACCTCAGATGGCTCGCCTTCCACCAGGGCCTGGGTTATGTGAGCCATCCAAGCTATATCTTGGTACAATGCTGTTCAGGGGTATCGACGCTGGGGTTATCGTTACTCCCCCCTTCATCTCGATGAGGCCCGGTTCTTCCGTCCACCGCGGTTCCGGGTTTTCGGGATCGCGTGCCTTGTCGTCATTTGGCCGGTTATTCTCATTTGTACAGACGATGACGGCACAAATGTCATGAGATCCCGAGTCTCCGCCGCGAAACGACCATCTCGGCCGACGTCGAAGATGCGAGGATCACGATGACGACTCCCGTTCTGATACAACCAATCTCGGATTTCTTTCATTTCGCGCCCGGCATCCGTGGCTGTGGCTTCCATCTCGATGTATCAAAACGATTCTCAGTCTGCGTCGATTCCTAATTTGATCAATTGTTTTGAGATAGGCGGCTGCGAAAACAGGCTGGGCCATGCGAAAAGGCTACGGGCTCTCTGAAGTTCATACTCACCCCCTTTCCTTCCGTTCAAATCCGATCTCCTCTCAGATTATCTGTTCTCATCTTCACGCAACCGGATTGTTTTCCAAACGAGGGGAGGTCGCGATTTCTCAGAGTCGTGCCACATCCGCACGGGCGGTGGATGCGTCATATCTTTTCTATTTCTTACCAACCCAATTCTCCGTGTCGCTTTTCTCAAGCTCGGAAAAGTAACCTGCACATGATAGTCTCGCCGAACGTTGCTGAACTGAAGACGGGAGGACTCGGAACACGGAGGTTATCCCGGGCTTCACCGAAGTAGTCGGGACGGAAATCCCCAGTCCTTGGTGTCATGTTCCCCCGGGTTGATGGAAACATTTCTTCGTGTACCCCTTCGTTTGCGTGTCGGTGTGGGCATGTCTCGCTCATCACGTCTCTCATCACCTTCCGCCAATCTCATCAATGGCATACTCATCAGTGAAATCCACTTTGTTGAGATCCTCATCGTCAGGGAGTTGGTCTATAAGAGATGATGATGAGAGCTAAATAGTCATGAAGGTAGTGAGATATTTCAAAGGAACTCTTATTTCATGCTTTGCGGCCAGTGTGAGATTTCTCTTGAGATTTTTTTCCTCCCGTCTTTGGTGGTCAAGTGACAATTCAAAGTGCTCATTTCGTTCTCGAGGGCGCCCGCTTCTTTCACCCAATGCACTCAAGTATCAGGGATATAAGAACTTGACAAACTGGATCTCCCTGGTACTGGCAAGTAAGCTCGGGATAGAGTGAGGGGCATCAATCATATCACTTGGTGACCATGGTCGCTTTCGGAACAGAGAACTATTCACAAGGTCGCATCGCAATGGATCGGATTTGACAGCGGACCAGGAGGCTGTTGACGATCACCAAACATGTCACCGAACATACCGTCACAGAACGCCAAGTCTAGACAATCGAGGTTCAACCTCAGCTTTCATTACTCGCCGATTTATCTACTAATACTCTCCGCCATCATCTACAATAAAGAAAAGAGGTCTGCCAATCTACCACAACTTTCTCCCGGCGGTAACGGAGTGACTACTGGATTATACATTACTCCGCCCCCCTCCCCGACAGGCCCGGCTCTCTCTGGACAAAGGAAAACTAAGGGAATACACACAATGGGGTCTGCATATCGTCATGGAATCATGCGTACTATGTACAAGAACGCTACATGGACTCGTTCAGGATATGAAATATTGTAAGTGATGAAATGGGTATGGTGGTGTGTGCCGAGGCCTCACGTTTAGGCGTGGAGGGTCTGGCGGACGGCGCGGGAGCGGCGGACCTTACCCGGGGCACCGGCAGGGGCGCCGGAAGCGGGGACGTAGGTGGAACTGTGATGAATTAGTCAGCTTCATGTATCGAGTGGTCTAAAGACGGGAATTGAACTTACCCAATGTACTGGACGGGAGGAGCGTTGTTGAAGCCAGTCTGGTCGAGGAGGTCCTTCATGTTGCCGGCAGCGTTGCCCTCGATGGGGATGTTCTGCTTGGCACAGGCGTCACGGTGGTCCTGAGGAACGGTGAGGTTGCGGAGCATCTCGGGAGCCTCAATGATGGTGGCGGTCAGACCCATCTCGACGTGCCACTCGATGTGGCAGTGGAAAAGGTAGACACCGGGGTTGGTCGCCTCGAAACGCAGCACAGCATACGAGTTACCCATGACGGTGACGGTATCACGACGAGGAGGCTTCTGGTTCAGGCGAGCGCGGTCAGCGCCGGGCCAGTCGCCAGTGCCGGAGGCCGGGCGCTTGAGGACCTGGAAGTGATGTCCGTGGAGGTGGAAGGGGTGGGCGGCGTCATCCTTGTTGTTGACAACGATGTCGACAATCTCGCCGTAGCTGACGATGAAGGGGTGGACAGCGCCGTACACCGCAGTGTTGTTGTTGTTCTCGCCGGCAGAGGCAACGGTGTACAGAGTAGGCACCTTCTGGTCGACGTACGGGGAACCGTTGACGCAGGCACGAGGGATACCGTTGGCGTCGGTGCAGAACTTCCAGTCGAACTGGATGGTCTTGGTGGAGGGGGGGAGAATGGCCTCGTCGTTGTAGGGCTCGTAGACGGAATCATCAGAAGGCTTCCACTCCGCGACTGAATCTTTGCCGAATTGCTGGTTCTGGTTCATGACCAGTTGGCCTGTGGCGTTGAAGGGCCATTGGATACCGAGGTCCTTGTTGGTCCAGTCACGGTTGACGTCGGCGGACATGAGGAAGCCGTAGTTCCTGTTATCCCGGTCGCCGCACTTGATCAGAATATCGTAGCGCTGAGCAGGGGTTATGCGGATCTGGTAGGTGAGCTTCTCCTTGATGTATGCCGAATCCATCATGATGAGGTTCATGTCGTGGGAGTCGAAGTGCAACATGAATGAGGCGAAGGCGGAGAAGTTGATGACACGGAAGCGGTATGTCTTGCCCTTCTCGAACTTGTAGTTGGCAGAGGCACCATCGTTGACGACAATTCCATTAGGGACAGGAGGCTGGAAGTGTACATTGCTTGGCTGAAGCATCTTCTGCACGAGGGGAATGCTCTGGTCGAAGTACCTGTAGACTGTTAGACGCGCTGCGTAAGACAGCCACGCGGGTAACTCACCAGTCAGATACCGTCAAGAGGTACTCCTCGTCGTACTTTCCAGCATACGGATCTTTGGGGTCGTGGATGATCAAGGCGCCGCGCATTCCATCGGGGTACTGGCCCATGTTGTGGGAATGCCACCAGTAAGTGCCACCCTCATCAGCCTATTCGTTGTCAGTAAGTAACTCGACTCTCTTACTCCTATAGAAGCCACCTACAGTGAAGGAGTACGTCATGGACGAGTCGGGGGGCAATGGGCATTGGGTGACCATGCTGGGGCCATCCATCCAGTTGGTGCTGATCTGGTTGATGCCGTGGAAGTGAATACCAGTCGTCTGGTTACCAAGCTTGTTGGTGAGGTGGACGATGATGGTATCGCCGACATTGGCCTCGATCTTCGGGCAGGGCCATTGTCCGTTGATACCAATGACTGGTCTCGTGACGTTCTTTCCAGCGTTGGTGTTGACCCACGTGGCCTCCCAGTTGTAGGTGACAGTTGCAGCTAAGGCAAGGTTGGCAAATGCCAATGTGAGCAGAGAGCGAACCATGATGGGCGTTCCTGACTAGACAAACCAGGTCTAGTAGGGTGAATTAAGTGATTATAGAAGATCTTCCAACGAACGAGTGAAGAAAGGAAGCGCGTATGAAAGGGGAAGGAAGAAACAAGGCAAGCAAGAGGCGGATGGGATGAGGAGTGAAGTCTGATAACAGGACTTGAGGAGGGAGAAACATGAGGGTTATAAAGAACGACACGAGATGGGTTCCAATGGCCAGAGCGGGAGTTTAGCTGATGGTCACCACCAGCCTTCCTACACCGGCCGGCCCCGGCTGGGTGGTAAAGTTGGAGCTCTGACATGGTTCCGGGTTTGGATTTGGCAAGTCGATCGATGCTCGGGCGAGACGGGCGCCGGAGGAGACTGTCGGTTGAGATGACATACGGCGTTGTGCTGACTGCCTCGCACATGGCAGGTACTGCAGTCGGGCAGGGCAAAAAGGCGTGTAAGCCACAGCTTGGTATTAGCTCGCTGCATGGCCGGATGTCCGTTGGCTGCAGCAGACTTGGAGGATGGAGAGGCTAGACCCTGTCAATGGTATCTAGGATGGTTCGTACAGCCGGGCCGCAAACTCTCAGATGATTGAGCGTTGAAAGAATGGGAGACATGCGAATGATACGGAGCATGCAAGTCTGCTAAGACAGCGGCGGCAAAATCGGCTGTTCGTGGCCGTTGAAGCGGGCCACAAGCTGCACGACCGCTGAGAAGTTGTCTACAGCTCCATATGCAAGTACGAAGAAGAGATCGCCTGTTGACGCGTTGAAATCTAGGCGTGACTTTCGTGGGGTACACTAGCTGGTTGAGAAGCAGATTAGAAAAAGCGGAAAATAACGGCGAGAAACGCATGATTGGATGGCGGATTGGACGCCACCATGCAAACAGGGCCTTCTCCAAGACATTCAGGTATGGCTAGGCAGATGTTGGAGGATCACGACCGCGAAGCGATGCTTGAATCCTTGAATTTGCTGATGAGGGATACCCTGTGATGGATCGTGGAACAGGCAGTTCGCTTGAGGCTGACGCTGCAGGCCGCAAAAGCAAGTGCATACATACGCCTTGCGAGAACGAAGTCGTCTGAGCCTAGGTCGAGAACTATCAAGACGGTTCCTCGGCTAGTGACCGTCTCCCACCCTCTCGAAAAGCGACAAGAGACATGACACGGCATGGGCAAGGTACCGAGAACGTGTGGCCGGTGGAAGTACGAGTAGAGCTCGAGGTTGCATAGCTAGTTCGGCCGAAGCGCTCAGGTACGCGGCGACGTCATAGCGGTAGACCTTGCCGAGTCGAGGTTGGGCTGTCGGGGTATGGCGAATCGAAGACCGAGGCTGGAAGAGCTGTAGTCAGATGGGATGGTCGCCGTACCGTGTCGGCCGCATTTTCCGTCCCAAAAGTCGCGAAGATGCAATGCGCTGTTCCGTCATCTTGGCGGGAGTCAAAAAGACGTTGGGAAAGGCCTGGATCGCGAATAAGTCAGACACCTTGTGGTGGCGTCGAAGACTTGGGAAGATGCAGCTGGCCGCGTCTCAAGAAGTCAAGATTAATCTAAAGCAAGTCCAAGTCGACCTCGGTGCCTAGACCCGAAAGGGTATATGTTGACCTGGCCATCAGCCTCTGGGTGACAAGAAGATTCATATTGACCTATCAGTCCATACATCGGGAACTTTTGAGCTTTCCGCGTCAGACGATGGGTGGTACGGTTCCTCTCGTACGTAAACGGTTGTGCTTGTGCTTTTGCATCTCTCTCGTCGACCCGATTGACCTCTCCGGAATAGTCAGAGTGCAACGGCAGCTGTCGTGCCAAGCTACGGATATTCTGCAAGACATGTCAGACCGAGTAACAATTGGCGCTAGCAGAGTGGTCAGAGGAACGGGACAGCCGGCTGAGATAATCTGGCCCCGGGACAAGACAAGAAGGGCAAGCCATGGCTCGTGGAAATAAGCGTTGGCGTAATACAATGAATGCTTGAGGAGTTAACAAATTTTTGTCCCACAGTCCTCAAAGCTGTCGGGCTTGACAGAGCGTGTTCGTGTGGGGGGCCAATGCCAGAGCAACAACCGCACGCACGGGACATGGGATGGACCCGTAGCTGTACCCGTACCTGAGCAGTAGTCGCAGTCGAGGTGGTGTGGTATCTTGCGTCAGGATACTGGTGTTGACCGAAGTGTGTGTGTGTGTAGGTCTGTGTGGGTGGATGGTTGAAGTTGAGGTATCTTGGAATCCTAGGTAGAGATGGCAATCGGTGTAGTTGGAAGAAAGAATCATGGAAGAGAGTAGGCTGCCAGCTGGCTGGCAGCACTCTGTACTGAGACCACTGACCCTTGTGCCTTCAACTCTTACCATGATACGTACATTGACCGTCTTCTCATTCATGTCAGGCCAAGCGGAAGAGTCCTGTAGCTTCGGCAAAGTATGTGTGAATTGGGGCTGATCATCGTGCAGTGGTGGGAGCTAGAGCCTCGGTAGAGGCAAGATGCCCTGAGATGGAGTGGACGTCTCCTCCTCCGCGTTAGCGTCGGCCGGATCGCAACATCTCTTCCTTTCCATGCCACCCTCAAAATAGCAACTGGGATTGGGATGGGGATGCCGTTGCAGTTGCAGTTGCAGATGCCAGCCGAGTAACTTACATTACTGCAGGAAGGCTCACATAGCCCCAAGTACCTGCGTAGCCTCTCCAAGTCAACCAAGTACCTCGACTTATCGCGCTTACTCAACTTACACTGGACCTTCAATGCAGGTAAGTTGACTCTTGGATAACGCTTGCATTATTAGCACCGCCGACTTGGAGGATGAAGGAGGGGGCAAATCTTCACTTTGTCTCGAAAAAACCCTTCCAACTGTCCAGGCCCAGCCCACGAGCCAACATGACCGAGATCATGACCGCGCCATATCGGCAGTAGAGAGGGGCAAGACGCAGGAAGAACACCGCCCAGGTGAGTGACTGATTCCTCTCCCCAAAGTCTCTGCGTTAGTGAAGCTTCAAGTCCGAGTCCGACCGTTTGGTACACACATCATTCTCCCGCCTTCGCCGTTCTGTTCTATTCCAAGGAGCGGACCCTCATTCAACCAAGAGTCCGAAGTCCCGGCCCGTTCGCTCCGTCCGTGTCGTCCCGCCGAGGCAGTTCAAACAATTCATTCCCAATCGTCTGGACACCCACCCGCAACAAAGTCAATGGCAAAAAAGGCCTCGGTTCAAACGAAATCATAACCATCTTCTCTTTCTGGCTTTGCTTGCGGATCAAACGACCAGCTGTATATGCTGCATCTGGTTTCCCTCGCCAATTGCACCTCACATTTCTTGAACTCTAGTGCAGTTCGTACGGTGAAATGAGCTCGCTTACAACAAAGTGAGACCGGCAGAGACAGTCACCGCCTAAGAAGCTCACACCTATCGCCATATCTTCAAGGAATACGATTATGTCTACTTCACCGAACACGACTACGGGTCACCTACCAACAGATCCGTCTCCTGGCTACTCAGGTGGCCGCAAGCCACACCATTGTATTCTGACCGGTGTACATACACAGCTTTCTTTCCAGGGGCGGCACCTTAGTTGCCCTCGTACATGGCCTGCCGCTGCCTGCCCGTCGCACGCCGCCTGTTAATCCCTGTGCCAGATCATTTTCTTCCTGGGTGTCCCTGCTGGGGTGTCTCGCAGCTCCAGGGTCGCCTTGGTGGCGCACTAACAAGAGACTGTCGATGTCAACCATTCATCATTTCGTCTTTATCATCGACAGCACTTCGAATCAAGTAGGTCATCTGGAAAATTGACTACAGTTTGACATCATTGACTTCGACTGTGCGCTTTTCCATTCAATTCCGTCCACACAGTTGAGACGCTTCTGTCGGAGACACCTACGATCGGATGGCCAATGCCTTCCAAACTGCCAGTGATTGTCCAAGTGCATGGCCAAGCCGTGGCGTCTGTTCTCTCCTCGGCTGCAACATCACCACCATAGCACGACAAGAAATTATTGCCTTGTGTATGTTGAGGCCTTCGTGACAGCTACCATCGCTGTCATGCATGTCGGAATTAGCATGCAATTGGCCGCCCAGATCGACACGTCAGGCCAACTGCGTACTGATAAGGCGGGAAAAAGCACCGAAGTCTTGTAGACGTTCAGGGAAATCAGCCGGAAGTATTGACGCAACGCAACGCCCGATGATCCCAGATCCAGGCTCGCCATTCTGGGCCCCTCTGTCAGCGATGAGATTCTGTTCTCTTGCATACCATTGACAGACTTGCACGGGCCATGGCCGATTCGACTTGACCGTCCCGTATTGCTGCTAGCTCGACACTGTCTCTCGTGACAAGTCTTTCATCTCGCCGTTTTTCCTTGGCCAACCTGAGCTTCCTTTTCTTCTCCGCACTGACCTCCGACGGTCTCTTCTATCTAATCGAGAAGGGGGAGATGGCTGTCCCGTATTGTCCAACTCGGGCAATAAATGAAGAAACGGTTCCATCACCGCAAGATCCAAGTCGTACCTAACAAGCGTCCACACCGTATTGCAACGACACGGCTGGCCCAAAGCTCCGGTTTGAAGCCTATGCTCAGCATTCGTCACACAGCGGCCAAGTTTCCGCAAAGTGTACTAGCGATTGGCAACTTTGATGCACATGGGATATGACAAGCCAAGCACCAAAAAGCTAGCTGTCTGGCTCATGCTGCGCCTAATTGCTACACGGCAGGCACCGTCCCATCATGACGACCCATCGCTCTCAGCAGCTGCAGCCCTGATACGAGGGCCAGCTATCCCAAGGATGTGATCAGCTCTAAGCTCCTGGACACCGCCTATTCTTTTTCTTTGCCGAACCCGACATGTTCCAGCTCCTCGTCGATTCTGGACGAGCCATCCACGCTCTCAGCTTGCGGTACATGACCCTTGCATTCATTTCCCATGCGCAGATGCAGTCCAGAGGCGCATGTACATCTCAGCAGTTCAGATAATCAGATGCGGAATTATTGCATCTTGCATCGGCCCAAAAGCCCTCTC